ACACCGCAGGGCCCCCCCGCTGTCCGTGGGTATCCCCAGCACCCCGAGGTGCCCCCCAGCACCCCAGGGTGGGGGCTGCCTGAAGGGGTGGGGCTGGGACTTTCCCAACACACGGCTGAAAGAAGAAGTGAGATTTGGGGGGCAGAGCCGCCCGCCCACTGAGTGAGAAGGGAAACTGAGGCCGGGGGTTCGGGGGGTTCCGCAGGTGCCCCCAGAGCCATGAGGACCCTCCTGCTGCTGTGGGTGGCCCTGGCTGGCGCAGGGGCCCAGTTGCCCTGTCCCCATGGGGAACCCTGCCCCGTCACCCCGGTGAGTGTGCGGGGTTTGGGGGGTCGGGGGGGCCTCAGCAGGGGATGTAACCCAACCCCCGCTGTGCCCCCAGGCCCTGCCTGCCCGCAGTGCAATGGGGTGCCAGGACAGCTCATCCTGCCCTGCTGGCTGCCAGCTGCCAGAGGTGAGCCCCCTTCCCTGTGCCTCAGTTTCCCCCCTGTCCCTGCCATTTGGGGGGCACTCCCTGACCCCCTTGCCCTTCCTCTCCCTTCTCTTTCCCCAGAGTGTCCCCTGCGCCGGGGGCCACCGCTGCTGTCCCCGAGGGTCCCACTGCAGCGCTGACGGGGAGTCCTGTGTCACAGACCTGGGTACGGGGACACGGGGGGTGGCTGGGGGGCAGGGTGGGCCTCGAGGGAACAGGATGGACACGGGGGTGCCACCTGTCTCCGCAGCCCCCCGTGCTGTCCCCTGTCCTGACGGCCAGTCTGAGTGTCCCGACGATGCCACGTGCTGTGTGACGAGCAGCGGCGCCTGGGGGTGCTGCCCCATGCCCCAGGTACGGGCTGTGGGGACACGGGGACGCTGAGGGGGGGACCTGGCACGGCCATCGCTGTGACGAGCACGGCTGGCACCCACAGGCCTCGTGCTGTGCTGACAAGGTGCACTGCTGTCCCCACGCCACCTTCTGTGACCTGACCCGCGGGCGCTGTGTGTCTCCTGCCGGTGACACCGACGTCCCCCTGGGCACAGCCTTCCCTGCCTGGAAGCGCCACCCCCCCGCCCCAGGTAAGGGGGGTGCCCTGGGGGTGTCCTTGCTGTGCTGTGCCCTCGGAGGGGACGCGGTGACACCGTGTGTCCCCTCAGTGGCGCTGCGCCAGGTGCTGTGTCCCGATGGCCGCTCAGCGTGTCCCGACGGGGCCACCTGCTGCCAGCTGTCCCCAACGCAGTACGGCTGCTGTCCCCTGCAGAACGTGAGTGCTGGCACAGCCCTGGGCACCCCGGCATGGGCAGCTGTGCCAAACCTGTACCCAGCACCCCAAACCCGCCACACCCCAAACCAAGCACCCCCTGCCAGGCACCCCAAGGCAGCCACCCCTCACTGGGCACCCCAGTCCAGCACCCCACACCTCAGCATGCACCACTCACCCCGTGCCAGTCCATGCAGGCACCCCATTCTGGGCACCCCAATTCCAAGCACCCCACAGTGATGCCAGGCACCCTATTTTGGGCACCTTGTCCCTATCACCCCACAGCAGACACGCCTTGCTGGGCATCCTGTGGTGGACACTGGGCCCTGGGCACCCCACCTGTGCCATGTCCCATACCAGGCACCCTGCACTGCCCCCCGTGCTAAGCACGCCCTGTCCTTGTCCCCAGGGTCCCTGTCCCCCCATTTGTCTCCCCCCAGGCCGTGTCCTGCAGTGACGGACAGCACTGCTGTCCCAAGGGCACCTCCACGCCATGTCCCCTATGCTGTGCCCCCTGTCCCCATCCCAGGGCCCTTGTCATGCTGTGTCTCCCCCAGGCCGTGTGCTGCAGTGACGGGCAGCACTGCTGTCCCCAGGGCACCACCTGTGACCTGATCCACTCCACCTGCACCTCCCTGGGGGGCTCTGCCTCTCTGGCAGCACTGCCCAGAGGTAAGGCCCCCCCAGGAAGCAACCACCCCCTGTCCTGTCCTGGGGAGGGGACACCAGCCCTGACTGTCCCCTGTCCCCAGCTGGTGACGTCAAGTGTGACGAGGGGACAAGCTGTCCCGATGGGAACACGTGCTGCAGGCTCAGCTCTGGGGCCTGGGGGTGCTGCCCCCTCGAGCAGGTACAGGGGTCCCCTGTGCCCCCAGGACACACAGATGTCCTCTGTCCCCCTGGGTGGGATGAGGGCAGCTGTGTCCACTGAGAAGGACAAGGGTGGGGATTCCTTGAACTTGCCCAGGAAAAGGTTTGATGTCCCCTGTCCGCCTTGGGAGGGACAAGGATGGGTTCCCCTGTGTCCCTCCAGAACTGGGAGATGTCCCCTGTCCCCCAAGAGGGCTCCCATTCTCTGATGTCCCGTGGGGAAGGGTGACACTGAGTCACTTTGACATCCCCCAGTCAAACCCCCAGTGCTGACTGGGACGTTTGGAGCTCCAGTGGCAGGAGGTGGTGAAGGGACATGAGGCCACCAGGATGCTCAGGGACCTTCCTGACTGGGCCCCCCGGGGGGGGGGGGGGGGGTCAGTAGTGATGAGGGGTTCCCATATCCCCCCCTCCTCACTGTTGGGGCAGGGACTGGGGATGGCAGGAATGGGCAGGAGGGGACATGTTTGTCCCCCCTTCTGTGGAGCTGGCAGTCCTTTGGGGGGTCCCCTGTGCTCAGCCCCTGCTCTTTTCCCCCAGGCCGTCTGCTGCCCCGACCACGTGCACTGCTGCCCCCAGGGCTACACCTGCGACCCCGAGGGGGGCAGCTGCCTGCAGGGGGGGGGCACCCGCCGGCCCTGGGTGCGCAAAACCCTGGCACTGTCCCGGGGGGGACAGGTGACATCGGGGAATGTCAAATGTGATGAGGAGACGAGCTGTCCTGACGGGAGCACGTGCTGCCGGCTGAGCCTGGGCACCTGGGGGTGCTGCCCCTTCGAACAGGTGTGGGGGGCTCTGCCCATGGGAGTCCATGGCTGTGTGGGGTGGGGGCCCTGGGGGTGCACCCAGGGGAGTGGGGGGTCCTGGACTGAGCAGAGATTCCAGGGGGTCCTGGGGTGTCCTTGGAGGGAGGGACATGGCTCAAGGGACCCTGAGTGGGGCACCTGCCTGGGGACATGGGAATGTTCACAGGGCACAGTGACCACCTGTCCCCTCAGCAGCCCCATGGGCTGGGGGTCTCCTGTGCCCCGAGGGGACAAAGGCCAATGTTCCCTTCTCCCCACGAGGGTCAAGGCCAGGTGTCCCCCTTTGTTGCTTGAAGGATGAGGGCAGATGTCCCCTGTCCCATGGGCAGGGTGAGGGCAGGTGTCCCTTGTCGTCCAAGAAGGACAGGGTGGGCTCCAAACCCCTCATGTCCCTATGGGACACAGGGCCCCTTTGCTGGCCCCCAGCCCCAGTCGGACCCCCTCTGCTAACTGGGACCAGTTTGGGACTCGGGGGGCGGGAGGTGACGGAGGCACACAAGGCCACTGGGGTGCTCAGGGACAGGAGGATGCTCAGGGACATCCGTGTGTCCCATGGAGGGGCAGAAGCATCATGAGGTGGTCCCCATATCTGCCCCCCTCAAAGTGGGGATGGAGGCAGGCTGGGTCTGGGGGGACACGGAATAGGGGAGGGCAGGAACAGGCAGGAGGGCACTTGTCCCCTGGAGGTCCCCAGCTGTGTTGCTGGGGGTCCCCTGTGCTCAGCCCCTGCTCTTTGCCCCCAGGCCGTCTGCTGCCCCGACCATGTGCACTGCTGCCCCCAGGGCTACACCTGCGACCCCGAGGGGGGCAGCTGCCTGCAGGGGGGGGGCACCCGCCGGCCCTGGGTGAGCAAGACCCCGGCGCTGCCCTGGGGGGGACAGGTGACATCGGGGAACGTCAAATGTGATGAGAAGACGAGCTGTCCTGACGGGAGCACGTGCTGCCGGCTGAGCCTGGGCACCTGGGGGTGCTGCCCCCTCGAGCAGGTGTGGGGGAGTCCCTGGGGGTGGGGGCACCCCAGGGGTGGGGTGATGTCCCAGGGAATGAGGATTTAGGAATAGAATGGAGGGGGTTGGGGCAGCGTGTGACTGTGGGGGTGGCCCTTTGGGGACAAGTAGGGCTGAGAGGGGCAGGGACATGGGACACTCCCACATTTGTCACTGGTCCCTCCATGGAGGCTCTGTGGGCAGGGTTTGGCACAGTCCCTGGGTCTCTGCTGGGGACACCTGACGTACCTCTGTCCCTGGTACCCAGACCCCTGTGTCCCGCAGACACCCGTGTCCCCCAGTGTCACCGCACTGATGCCATCCTGTGTCCCCCCCAGGCCGTTTGCTGCGGGGACCACAAGCACTGCTGTCCCCGGGGCTACACCTGCAACGTGGCCACCGAGAGCTGTGAGAAGCTGCTGGCACCCACCCCACTGCTGCCAACCCCCTCAGCCCCCCGCCAGACCCCCTCTGCCCCCCGCCAGGCACCCCCTGCCCCACTGCGAGCCGCTGGCACCCACCTGGGTGGCCTTGTGCCCTGTGGTGCCACTGGCTCCTGCCACGGGGGCCAGCGGTGCTGCCAAGCCCGGGGAGGCTCCTGGGGGTGCTGCCCCTTCGCCCAGGTGAGTGGGGGGACACCGGGGGGGGGGGGGGGGGGGTTACCCCCCCCCCCCTCTTCTTCCCCCCCGGGGGCC